CACACACACACACACACACACACACACACACACACACACACACACACACATGATGATCTGCAAAATTACGACGAGTGCTTTGCTTGGAAGGACTTCATAAGGTCAACAAGCTTCTCAACACCAGCCTTTGGCATGGCATTGTAGATGGACGCCCGCACACCACCCACTGAGCGGTGTCCCTTCAGCTGAACCAGTCCCTGAGCAGTTGCCTCCTTCAGGAACTGTGCCTCGAGCTCTGGCACTGCCAATGTGAAGGGAACATTCATCAGCGAGCGCACACTGCTTTCAACTGGGCATCTATAGAATCCGCCGCTGTTGTCGATCGCATCATAAAGCAGGCTGGCCTTTTCCTTGTTCTTTTGCTCGACGACCTCCAGCCCTCCTTGCGCCAGCAGGTCGTCGAACACAAGCCCACACATATAGATCGCATAGCACGGCGGCGTGTTATACAGAGAGTCATTGTCTGCCTGCGTCTTCCAGTCGAGCATGATAGGAGTTTGTGGCTGCGCGTGCCCAACGAGGTCCTTCCTGACGATGACGATGGTGACTCCCGAGGGGCCAACGTTCTTCTGCGCCCCCGCGTAAATGACGCCAAAGCGCGACACGTCGACAGGTTTGGAGCAGAAGTTCGACGACATGTCTGCAACCAGTATGGCATCGCCAACATCTGGGAATTCCTTGAACTCGACGCCATGGATGGTCTCATTGGCGCACACATGCACATACCGAGCGCCGGGAGTGAGTTGCCACTCGCCACGTGCTGGAATGACAGTGTACTTAGTCGGTTTCGCGTTCACCGCCACGTTCGCCTTGCAGTACTTCTGCGACTCCTCGTACGCCTTCGAGCTCCATGAGCCTGTGATCACATGGTCGACGACATCGTCCGGAGCGCAGAGATTCAGGGGAATTGCGGAGAACTGCTGTGTTGCCCCTCCCTGGAGAAACATCACATAATAGTCGTCGGGGATACCCATCAGCGCGCGCAGGTCGGCCTCCGCCTTCTGAATGATAGCCATGAAGTCTTTGCCGCGATGACTCATCTCCATGACACTCATGCCGGAGCCCCGCCAATTGACAAGCTCTGCCTGTGCTTTTTTTAGCACATTGAGAGGGAGGGTGGCGGGACCGGCTGCAAAGTTGAACACCCGCTCCTCGTCGTTTTCCTCTGAGAAGCTGCTCGGCGAAGAAACTSTGSCAGYGTTCGCCATCGCCATCACGCCCTTGTTTGGTCCGCCTGTCGCCCGGGTGCAATGGGCCTGCGCCTTGTGCGACACCGCCACCTTCTCGCTCGTCGCTCCCGGGACGGCACACCTCACTGTGCCAAACAGGCTGCTAGAGCTCGAGWGCAAARCGATGCCACCTGCCTTYGGAACGCTTCCAACRAAGCAACTGCCGGCATGCAGCTTATCRCCGGTGRCGACCTGTTCTCCACCTGTCAGACCTGCAGTGGGTACACAAGCTGCGGTCATTCTCTCCCCGAGAGCAGCAGTGCATGCATGTGCCATAGCTGGAAACACCTGACTGCTGGCCCTTACCGCTACAGGACAAAAACCAACACACGTGATCAATGTCTGTCAACTCTTCCACTACCTCCTGTCTCCTCTTCCCCTCTAAACACCGGACGATTGATTCATTGATGGATTGTTTGGTCGATTGGTTGGTTGATTGATTGTTTGTTTGGTTGGTCGATTGGTTGATTGATTGGTTGGTTGATTAGTGGATTGGTTGATTGGTTGATTGGTTGATTGATTGATTGGTTGATTGGGTGATTGGTTGCTTGGTTGCTTCGTTGCTTGGTTGGTTGATTGATTGGTTGATTGGTGGTGATTGGATGATCGGTTGGTCAATTGATTGGTTGATTGATTGATTGGTGGTTTGATTGGTTGATCGATTGATTGATTGGTTGATTGGTTGGTTGATTTGTGAGAGGAGGGAATAATTATGCAGAGGATGGTAGGTGAAATGGTTTTCACCTTTACGGTAGCAGATGTCGTTCCCAGGGCTCGATCCCCAGACCTCGCCCTTACCCGTGTACAGTATCAGTTGACCCTTGTGTGCTTGGCCTGTGTCTTGGAAGCCGCCTGTTGCTTGCTGTAGGTAGTCTGATCGTCGGGTCTTGAAGAGTAGGTCTGTAGGTTAGGAATCTTGGCAGTGATAGGAGTCGTAGCTGCTACAGTCCCCAAGAGTCAAGGTCGTAGCTGCTATAGTGCCGTAGGGTCAAGTTGACAGCCTTCCGGAGCTTCCGGAAGCGACCTTTCGTAGGTCTTAGGAGGTAGACCGTAGGCAGGTGGGCAGGCTAACTCTGCCCAGTCAGCGGTACCCAGTCCCGGTCACACTTTGTCAAGTCAGCAAGTACCATTTGGGACTGTGTGCACCCGGGCCCAGGGTCCAAAAGGCAGACCTTTGACAATCCGAAGTATAAATCAAGAGGCAGCGTCAACTCATGCATTCATTCCGCCTGTGAGCCATGCAGAAGTGCTGCCTGAGCGTCTTGTGCAAGGAGGTCTGCAGGTGCCCCAAGAAGACATGGGCTGAAAGAGAGAAGATACGGCCATAGCCGTTTGTCTGGGTAGTGTAGGGGAGGCAGCCATAGCTGCCATAGCTTAGTGCTAGAGTGTCATACATGTGTGTGTGTGTGTGTGTGTGTGTGTGTGTGTGTGTGTGTGTGTGTGTGTGTGTGTGTGTGTGTGTGTGTGTTTGAGTGTGTGTGCTGGACATCCAGAGGGAGATCCAGAGTTGTGTGTGTACGAACAAATTTGAAGCCGAACTGTGTTTGTGGCTTCGTTATCTCTGAGCTTTGCGTGTGGGCGAGAGCTGCCAGCTTGATCGTCATCTGTTTATATGCACGCCGAAGCTGGCGGTGGTTGAGACGAGTCTGATTGCAGTAGGCATAAAGGGGATCGCATGCTGCTTCAGCTGCCAAAACAACGACAGGGACTAGAGACGTATCAGAAGAACATCTTGAGCCATGTCTATAGCCGACTAACGGTGCCAAACGGAAAGAATAAGACGCAAGGAGAGAGCAGGAAAGATCTACCTGGGTAACAATGGCAAACGGAAAATACAAACCCGACTAACGATGCCAAACAGAAAGAATCAGATGCAAAGAGAGGGCATGGAAGATCTTTCCGGCATTAGTTCACGGGGGCGGGCGAACTGCTTAAACTCGTTGTAATAACTGCTTACCGGTGAATCAGATGATTAACTGGACTGATGCCCCTACAGAATAGATGGGGGCACTGTGTATGTTATAAAAAAAAAAAAAAAAAAAAGAATAAAAAAAGGTGCATGAATTTTTTTTTTTTTTTTTTTTTTTTTTTCGAACATCGTTCAAGGGCAGGTGCATAGCCACTGCTGCTAATGGATGGAGGGTGGGGGAAGTAGACGGGAGGCGCAGCTACTGGCAAAATGCTGGGTCTTTGCGTTATCCGGGGGCCCCCACCAGTGGCCCCACCCTACTCCCTGACCACCGCCGATTAGGGAAGGGGGGGCAACATGCATCCCCTTAATTGTGAGGGGTGGCTATGCTTGCAGGCTGTATAGCCTATAGGGAGTAGTGGTAGGTAGATAGTGAAAGGGGAAATCGAGAGACGAATACAACTTAGTTAGTTAATTAGTTAAAAAAAAAAAACAAAAAAAAACCTATCCCCGGGGTAATACGAGCGCCTGGCAGTAGTAATCGGCCGACACTCGATGGCTCCGATCTATTCGTGGGGAAAAAATGAGGGGACAGTTTGTCACAGCCCCTCGTTTGTTGTCCTCTTCTTCGCCCTCTCTACGGACGGCGGTTTACCAGGCAGTTCTGTTTGACGATATATATAGCACGGCTTCGATAGCACCGTGCTATACTGTTTCGGTTATTTTCGGGGGTCAGTTGAGCGTCTGTGGTCAGGGCTGTCGCTACGCGGCCATGCTGTGCCTCTAGTGCCAGCGGCGTGTGTCTGGACTCTGGAGTGTATGTTTTGGCTGCGATAGACCTTTCTTTGTTTCGTTGATTTGTGGGTGTTTTGCTTGGTTGTTGCTTGTGATGGGTGGGGTGTGAACCTACAGTCTGTAGAGTTTTCCATCTGGTGTGGGTAAGAAGTGATAGTCTGCTTTGATGTTCGTCACAGGTACCTTGAGGGCAGTGGTTGGTGGTCCCCACCACCTCAGAGGGGTATCAGTTGTCGGGCAGTCGTTGATGCTTCACCACAAACAACAGGGGTTAAGGTGGATTGGGACCAAACCAACCGAGGTACAGACAAAATCAGCAAAACAAAAAAAGGCTCCAATCCACAATGTGACAACCAAAAAGAAGGAGAAGACAATCCCGGATGGCGATTCCCACATACAGCACCGCCCCGCGCTCAAAGGGCCAAACAACGGGAAACAACCAAGCCAACCAGGATGTCAAAACACTTGCCTGCAAAACGATAACCCGATAACCAATCCCACATGAAGCACCGCCATCCCTCCTCCCTAAGATAGACCAAATAAGGGGACAGAATCAACYRRAATCGAAGCAGACAAGRTTCTCATTCAAAAGAAACATTCTACCATAACCATAGTTAAAAAAACGGAACCATACAGTAGGTCCGCAAAACAAAATACCCCTAAACAAAGGGGGAAAGACAATAGGAAAAGATATGGGACAATAGGATATATATAGTCACGAAGTTATCAGAGCGCAAAAGCGAAAAAAACAGAAAGAAACAAAAAAGATATCAATTCATTTTTTATCTTCTTAGTTACAACTCCCCCTGTTGAGAACCTCTTGCGTACAAGGCCGCCCACGTGGATGTGGTTGAGTGGCGGCTGCCCCCACCCGTGTGTGTCATATCGACCCACTTGCACACAGCCAAAAGGCAAAGAGGCAAAGAAAAGAGGAAGGGAACAGCCAAATATAACAAAACAGGGGGCAACAAGATCCTGCATGACAAGCCCCACATGTAAGCACCGCCCCCAACTTCATAGGCCAAACAACCGGACAAGACCAACCAGGATATCAAAACACTCTTGCCTGCAAACAAACGAAATCCCAAATACATATCTATATACAGCAGATGGCCTTGTTCGTCATCAAGTCGTGGGTATTCCCATTCCTAAACCATTCATGCTCTCATAGGCCGAACAACAACAACACCCGGATGACTAGTCCCACATGAAAGCACCGCTGCGCTCTCGCCAACTGGGATGCAGACAAGGGTGCCAAAAAACAAACATAACTGATCCTAGATGACAAGTCCCACATGCACGCACTGCCCCCTACATCACAGGGCAAACGACCTGACAATCATCAACCACGATAGCAATCAACACCCCTTGCCTGCAAAAAAAAAACTATAAAAAGACGATCCCAGATGACGATTCCCACCTAAACTCACCCCCTAGCTCCTTCAATAGGCCGAACACCGGGAACCAGCCAACTTCCATGCCAAAAGGAAAAACCCGCCCTCTATATATATGTATCATATATATATTTTACGAGATAAGGTCCCTATGATACGGATGGTTAAATGCGGATGGATGGTCCTTCACTACATCCGTTCCAATTGCAACGACGATACAGAGACCGACAAGCTTAGCATTACCCCAGCCCAAGGATCACACCCATGAATCGAGAAATGATCCATTTTTTTTTTTTAATCCGTTCCAATTGCAACGACGATACAGAGACCGACAAGCTTAGCATTACCCCAGCCCAAGGATCACACCCATGAATCGAGAAATGGTCCATTTTTTTTTTTAATAATTATTTTATTTATTTATTTATTCATTTATTTATTTATTTATTTATTTATTTATTTATTTATTTATTTATTTATTGATTGAGAAATGGTCCACATTAAAACACAAACACACACAAATCAAAAAATCGGATGGAATCCCTTTCTCGGCCTTTTGGCTAAGATCAGGTGTAGTATCTGTTCTGATCAGTTTAATATCTGATCCGTGGTCCATCGGGAAAAAAAATAAAAAATAAAAATAAAAATAAAAATCGAATGGATGAGGAGGCGAACAAGTGGATGGACGCCGAAAACACTCCCCGAATGAAAAAAAAAGTGGATAAGATTATCCTGACCATTATTATAACTTCCCTAAAAAAGTTGAGAGTTCAAAAAGAGTTACTCCCACCATTTACCGGGGGGGCTTCAATTCGAAGCTTACATCTCTATCTGCTCTCCACATACAAAAAAAGAAGAGATGAAAGGTAACCTAATTATGGAACTGAAGAAACAAGGTCGCAATTGGTGGTTGATTGGAAGTGGGGATCGCCTGAAAGTGCAAGTGCAAACACTGGGGGCTCGGCGGAGAAAAGAGTCTAGGGTGTATCCTTCTTTTTATGTTATCTTTCAGGTCTCTCAGGGGACAGATGGATGATGGATAATATGGATCCTCACCGCTCTCATCTCATCTCATCCATCTCATCTCTCAGGGGAATAATTTTAGTTTTTTTTTTGTGGTGGTTGGTTATCTCATTTTCAATTTGTCTTACATATATAGATATATATATCGTCATATGGCACTCATTCGTGCAGCTGCCCAGTGGGAACTGTGGGATGGTGGGACGATGAGTCAGGTCATTTTCGACGTGAATGAA